ACTGCAACGTAGCACCGTAGCAGTGAACAAAGATGTATGAATGAAGGAATGTTACAAGTAACAGAAATCGGAAATGGAGATGATGAGATTTAGATATTTTTTTTAATTAATAACATTGGTAAATAAAAAAAATCAAAATTTTGAAGGATTTTGAGGAGTGAATTAAGGGATTTGAATGGACAATTAATATGGGACCCACATTAATTAAAGGATTGTAATATTAATTTATGGAAATAACTATTTTATATTTAAAAAATTAAAAAACTATAATAAATGAAAATGCAATAAGTAAGGGTCAATTAAGAAATTAAACTAAAATCTTACCGGACAGAAATCTAAAAGTTTAAAATTATAAAAATTTAGACATTTATGTAAATAAGTTTCTAAAACAGCCATATCCAAAGATATTATCTCAAGAAATAAAATGAAGAAGTCAATTTTAAAAATACAAATTAAAAAATAGTACATGCGGTTCGGTTCGTTTGAGGTTCGATTTTCGAACTTCAAATCCAAATTGAACCGAAGAACTTAACTGAATACAAACTTAGACTAAAACATAAAAATGAGTTCGGTTCAGTCCAATTTATCGGTTTTATCGTATTTATTTGGCTTATTAAAACAGATGGGGAGAAACAAGCTAGTTTTTAGGTGCGCAGAAAATGAATGGGAGAAAATTTGTGAGATTTAAACAAAATGCAGGTATACTAATTTGAAGATTTTAAAACTGTGGATAGCAAATTGAAACTAAGCCTACCAACGCCAATGACTTCTTATTTAATATTAAGATCGAAAATTAAAATAAATACAAACCACGACAATTGATTAAATTAATTAAATCTTATATGAACCTAGGCTACTTAAACCTATATTCCAAACATAATTTTTTTTTTCCAAATTCAGGCTACTAAATCCCCACAAGAAGCAAAGTCATACCCGTCCTGRAAGGATAAGGGGTACCCTACAAATGGTAGGGCATGTGCTTTAATGAGAGGAGATAAGAACAAAGTCYTATCTGTCTCTAAATGAGGCAAAAAAAATTTTACCCACTGTACTTTTGTCGCTTGGTTGAAAATTGCTTTTTCGACTTGTTAGTTTTGCAATGTGCGTGACCAATCCAATCAACCAAATTTCACATTAATTTCACCCCTACGTGTAATTACCAATTCTAAAACCTTCTAACCTCAACTTTAACTTATTCTTTTATAATTTGTTAACAAAAAGTCATTTTTAGTACAATAAATGGGATGAATAATTTGAATTCATCATCTTTTGGTTAGAAATAAATGTCGCTAAGTTAAAATCATGTTGGCTTAACAAAGTCACCTTTGTCTTCCATTGAATTTAAGCCCTCGTACAACTCTATCTATGAAACCTCGACTAGCTAGCTATATTACCTTTCGACCTAAATTTGTGTTTTGACCGATGAACTTTGTTACTATACGAAATTTAAAATTACAAATATTTGTTTYTACTAAAGCTATAACATAAGCTAGTTGCAATGGAGAATAAGACGAATATTGACGATAGGATCAAAAAATACATTTCAAAGTTAATGTTTAAAGAAAAAGAACACCCTRATGAAATGAATCTAAGAAAGGTAAAAAAAAGACAAAACAAAATGAGATTTGTTTTTAGAATATTACCATTTGAGGAAGGATGGGTGCTTTTAGATTTTTTTTTTCTTTTTTTCTTTTTACAATTATAACAAGTGGGATGGGAAATACAAACTCATGATTTTTTAATTAAAATTTAGTGCCAATTACACTGACCTAAGTTCACGTTGATGAGTACTTCTAGATTTTATTATCTTGATTTAATAAAAAAAATTACATTTTCTTTAGGAGCATACTTGTGTTAACAAAATATTTTTAAAGATAGAAAAATAAAAGACAAAATAAAGTAATAGTAGTGACAAAATATGGATATCTATATTTATACTTATCATTTAATTTAATTATTTTCTCTATTCAATTTTATCGATTCAAACTTTTTCTTTCTACAAATCCTCTCTCCCTACACCAGTCCTCTTAATTTTTTCTCTTAATTTTATTCAAATTATCATTTATTTAAATTTATTTGAAATTTGTAAAGGTGGAAAGTTAGTATTTAGAAAAAGAGAGAAAATTAGAGAGGAAGAATAAGAGAGATAAATCTGTAAAGGTTGATAATAGAGAGGGATAGGAATCAAAAAGATTAAATTTGTAAATATTCAAAAACAGTATTTAGAAAGAGASAAATTGAGACACAAATTCGTATTTAAATGACAAAATTAACTCAATAATTTTTTTTATCAGTCAAAATTACCTCAATAATAATAATAAAATAATAATACATCTGATGCACGTGTTATTCACTAGTAAAATATAAACTTCAACTTCACGCAATTTTACATCTACTTTCCCGTTCAACGGGCAGWGCCTAGGGCAGGGGCATTTCCGTAATTTTGTGTTCATCCTTCCGMTCTCCTATAAAATTCCGGCAACCGTGATCGTCTCCCACTTCCCTACTGCCGCCCTTTCGCTCTCTCGTTGCGGTGGTGCATTAGCTTGCAGCAGCTGCTTGTTCGCCGCATTTTCTTTACTGGAATCAAGCCCAAATTCCAGTGTTTCAGGCGTTCCGGAGCCGGAAAATGTCGCCGCCGATCCTCTCTTTAGCTCTGCCGTCGGCGACTGGTCGAGTTCTCAGTATTCAGTCCCACACCGTTCAGGTATGCTCAATAGTTTACGAAGGTTACGGATGGTTCGGTATAAATCAACATAAACTCGAAATTCAGCTTGTTTTGYTTGCCTCCATGACGCTTCTGCACGAGTTTCCTTCAATTATGTTGCGAACTTACATCGTTGAACTTGATTGTTTTTTGTGAGAAGTGTTGTTTCTTGGAGAGGGTTGACTTTTTAGTTCTTTTATTCTGTCTTCTTGTAAATCTTCTGAAGAAAATAAAATATAAATTTCTGCGGATTGTTTGTTGATACTAGTTTTATATTCTTCTGTTTCCTCTTATTTATGCACTGTTCTTGATTGGCTTTCACTTTAATGGATTGTTCTTTTGTATTCCGGCGTAGGGATATGTTGGGAACAAATCGGCTGTCTTCCCTCTCCAACTATTGGGCTATGATGTAGATCCAATAAATTCAGTGCAGTTCTCAAACCACACAGGCAAGCTGATTCTATTTCTTCATTCAAATGGTCTCAGAACTCTGAGGCCTAATATACGGTGCGATGCCTTGTGTCATTATGCATAAGTTCTGGTATGATTTCGTCGTGTTAGTGAAAGTGGATTATGGTTCAATTTGGAATTAAAGCAGGATATCCGACTTTCAAGGGCCAAGTTTTGAATGGAGGACAATTATGGGAATTAATTGAAGGCCTTGAAGAAAACGAATTGTTGTACTATACTCATTTGTTAACAGGTACTCTACTTTTTCATTAAATAACTTCTGATATCCCGTATAATTTGGTATCTTAACAATATAGTGAGGCTGAAAAGAAGAAATATGTCTGATAGAAAAAGAGAATTATGCTGAACTATTGCCATTTTTCCGTATAAAGTTCCTGCAGTTGTTATTTTTATTTTTCAGCTAATGTGAGTTCTGTTATATTATCTACTTATGGGTTTTCCAGGTTATATAGGCTCTGTTTCTTTCCTGCACACTGTATTAAAAGTTGTCGATAAGCTTCGCTCAGTGAACCCTAAGCTTACATATGGTCAGTTATATTCAAGTTCCTTATGCTTCATTATTTATGTTCTCCATAATCATGTATATAACTTATAAGTTTTGTTATATGTTTCTTCTGAGTTCTTGGTAACCTAGAACCAGTAAGCTGCAAGGATAATAATGTTCTAATACTTCTTTGCTCGAAGGACCAACATCTTGTGTCCAATTGCCTTTCTACCATGTATGCATATAAGAGTATGTGGGAAGTTATGTATGGACTTGTATTTTCTAAAATGGATGGAATATATATGTGCACATATATGCATATATATTAATAAGAAACAGAAACTTTGTGGTTAATAATGGGAAAATTTTTCGGATTAATTCGTGAGCTACTGATTTAACCATGTTCTCATTGAATTTYGTGTCTTTTGTCCAGTATGTGATCCAGTGATGGGTGATGAAGGGAAGCTTTATGTTCCTCAAGAACTGGTATCTGTATACCGCGAGAAGGTGAGAAATCTAGCTCACTCTTTGCCCTGATGGTGCTTGATAGCTCAATCCTTTAATCTTGGGTTAGATGTTTTCTTTTATGGATGATGTTCCTTGCTCGGCATTGATTATTCAACTTTCCGATGTTTTAACGTTTGGACTACTGAAAATGAGATTCCTTATCCTTGCGTTTAGAAGTTAACAGTCATTTAAATACCTGCCCTTTCTATTTCCCGTTTTTATGTTCTTGACTATAGAACTTTTTGATGAGTCCAATTCATGGCTAGGTTGTCCCAGTGGCTTCAATGTTGACTCCTAATCAATTTGAAGCTGAACAATTGACTGGGTTAAGGTAATTTAAATAGGATATGGTTACATGATGAATTTACCGTGCTAATGTTACTTTTACTGACCTATATAGATATATGGAAAGAGTCTAATATCATGTTTGCTTCTGTCTTTTTTAATTCTCTTTTTGAATGTGTGCGCATGTGCGTGTGAAGTGTCAGAAGAGCTGTCTTATACGGCTGAAGTAACTGTACACCTTTGAAACTCTGAACGACGTACTGGTATATTGATATATTTATGAAATTATTCTCTAACTCTTAACTCTAATATGGTTTAGAATATAATCGATTACTGTTAAATAATGAAATTACAGTGCAAACTGGTATGGTTGAAGGTGGAGACTGGGTCACTGGGAAGCCTTATTTTTTTCATTGACCATAATTTGATTAAACACCCTTTCTTGAATTCTYCTGACCTGCCCTAGGGCATCTATCAATCTTAATATTTTTGGATCTTTCAATGTAATTCTATATAACAATTAGCAGCTTTCTTTGAAAACTCTAGAATTCGTAATTCAAATGTACCTCAATTTGTCTGGCAAATACTTGGCAGTATTTAGTACTCCAGCACCCTTTTTCCTTGCTTCAGGTAGTGTTCTTTGAGAAKCCTTGTTTTTTTCAGGATCCAATCTGAAACAGATGGTAGGGAAGCTTGTAACATTCTTCATGCCGCTGGACCTACAAAGGTAAGCATTATGAATGTGTCCATTGACCCATTGAAAAATGGATGGCGTATGGTATTTCTTATTCAAATGCGTTCTCTCGTAGTCAAGTACCATGAATGCGAGAGAGTGGAGTTTAATGAGCTCCTATAGGAGTGATTCTCTTAAACTTGAATCTCATGTTCGTTACTTATTAATAGAAAAGGTAGATGGCAGTTGACACATTGATGCTCGTGTCAATTGGATAATTGATGCATCATGACCATATTTTGGCAATGTGAATTGGACCATACAACAAAATAGCTGGGGTCCTGCATAAGTTAATAACTTAATAAGATATAATTACTTAGCGAGTTGATTCTTTTTGAAGTACTTTAAACATCTTTTGTTTTTCAGGTTTTTCCAGACATTATGTAGAGACAAAATTTCTGATAGTAGGTGCTTATCTTTTTAAGAATTCCAACTTTTACAGCTGTAGTCCTATTTACTTTAGGCGATTAGAACTTCTCCTAGCGTAACATACCTAGCTATCAAAATGTTTTACCTTGAAACTTATAATTCAATCCCCTTCTACAAACAAAAATACGATCCATTCTGTTGGTGACATCATTCTAACCGTTATTTTCCTGTGTTGTCAATGGCTCAGTAATCTGATGTGTAAATCACGTTAAACATCTCAGGTTGTGATTACAAGCATAAATATGAATGGTGAACTTCTTCTCATTGGAAGCCATCAAAAGAATGAGGTGAAGTTTTGCATTTTATAATGAATTGAGTTATTGTAGTCTGAGATCTGTAGTCAGTTGTGTGTATCTTTTGAATCTTGAAAAGCTCTGACAAAATTGTTTTGACCCATATGATTTTTGTTAGAGCCCAACAAAACTAATTTACTAATTCTTTCTGCTGAAAGCCAACAGATTGCCTGGTTAGATTGCCAAACAGACTTTATCATTATCTGTCTGAATCTTACTGAGAACAAACTGTTGTACCAAGCCTCTGCTACTTTACAGTCACTTGTGCCTATGATGCTACATAGAAGTTGTAACACTTGATGATTTAAGCCACTCAAAATGCATCCTCATAGTAGGGTCATCTTCCTTCTCCCAGCTTCTTTCACGCTACCTTATGGAAAAGATTCCACCCCATCGTTTGCCCACTTTTTCTGTTACTCCCTCTGTATGGAAGTCTTAAATCCTAAAACTAATAAAAATTTCAGCAGAGGCTGTCTGTCCACTAGCCTTAAATGTCAAACCTCTTTAAGTCATAAATGCCGCACCAACCTCATCCTATCTTTTTAGACCTTTATTCACCTTTAACTGAAATGACTTATTTTAGGCTTGGATGATAGTTATTCAGAGATGCCTCTTTCAGTCTTCTGCGTGCATCCTTAACTTTCACCAGACAATGGCATTCTAAGGGGTGAAAATGCTGGTCAAGTTAGACTCCTTCTTTTGCAGAAGTGTTGGCGATTGGTAGATAGCTTTAGGCTATAAAACACGGACACGGTAAAAAAGGAGGAGTGTCTATGTCGGACATGTGTCGGACACGGATACGTCCGGACACGCTCCGGACACGTGTCCGACACGCAATTTAAAGTGTCCGAATATTAAATTTTTTATTTTAATTTCAGACACGTGGGGACACGTTTTGGACACGGGAGGGACACGCCAGATAAAAAAATATTGTTTCCTTAGCCCAATTTTGGAAGTCCAAGAAGTTTGGTTGAAATCTCAAAAACTTAAACTACAAAAAAAAAACCCTAAAACGCTACCTAGTGACCCACCCTTCTGTTTGTGTGAGTTAAATTAAATAAGCTCTATTCTTACTTCATTTTTTTCCCTAATTTCATATGAATTAAACTGGAGTAGAATATGTTTTACTAAATTAGGATAACAACTTCGACCCAATAATCAAATTCAAATCCTTCTCTAGGATTTTTTTAGTGGATTACATTTACTATTTTTATGYTTTTTAGTGGGTACATCTTCAACCCAATAAATTTACTTGACATTTATGTTTTTTAGCGAAGTATATTTAGCATTTTTATGTTAAATTTACTTATATCCTAAAAAAAATAATAAATAAATAACGTATCCCCAGCGTGTCCGTGTCCTAGTTTTTTAGAAATTGACGTATCGCCGCGTCCTGTAGTGTCCGTGTCCCGTGTCCGTGTCTGTGCTTCTTAGGCTTCAGGCTAACTTTTGAAGAATGGGATGCCATGAAACACCTCAAGCCAACTGTCACGATCATTATGGTGGTTGGATCAACGTTAGAAATGTTCCCTCCACCATTTCGCCCTATTAACTTTTAAACTCATAGGGGATGCTTGTGGAGGTTTTTGGTTGATTGTGCATAGCAACCCTAAGAAAGCTTGACTTCAGGGAAGCATTTACTGAACTGAAGCAAACGTTTACGAGCTTTATCCTTGCTGAAATTCCCTTCCCTTCCACTTCATCCACCTTATAGTCTCTTACACCTTCCTCAAGCCCCTTTCTACAATGCAAATCTGTTGATTAGAAGGTTGCCAACGTGCATGGCTCCTGGACTTCGGAAGCAGTAGTTAACTTTTCGATGAAAGATTTAACCTTTTTCGATGAAAGATAACCTTTTTTCTTTTTTGGTTACTTGAACAAAGAAACTGGTTTTATACGTATTCCCTGATTCTTACATTTTATAATACCCATGTTTAGCTGAAGGCATGGSTCCACCAACATTTGGACCTCTTATTAGATTTTTTTTTTTTAGTTGAACAATGGGGTGGGGATTCAGACTCCCAATCTTTTGGTCGAGGATATATATATATATGTCTTAACCAATTGAGTTATGCTAAGATTGACATTGCATTTTATAGTTTTGACTTTATTATTGTGGGCAGTGCATTCRCATGGTATAATTATAATATCCAAACTTTAATGTCATAGGGTCAGTCTCCGGAACAATTTAAGATCGTGATTCCCAAGATTCCTGCATATTTCACGGTATGGAATCTTTCACATCTAATTTCACTTGCAATGTTTATCTCCAACTTTTGAACTGAAATTGATTTCAAGAAGAAACTATTGTTCTATCTAAACAATGCAAGGAGAGCTAATGCGGCTGTAGGTGATCTACTAATGGAAAAAAATGTTCATAGTAACTAGCGGGCTCAAGAAAGTCATTTATCAGAATGTGTAGGAAATTAGAGACCTCAATGCTGGAAGAGATCACTGTTTCTTGTTCATAGCATCTATTCAAGCTCTTGAAAAGAATATTCAAGATTTATCATCCTTGCTACATTGGATTCATCTTTTTCAAAACATTTGAAACTCGATTTTTGTACACTTTTTGCTAGTCCCCAGTATGGTGGCTATGTATTTACAATCTCCAACCAAAATAAGGTAATATGAGTATCATATATTTTAATTGGTTTTAATCCTAATTCATATCGATTTCAAACCGTTGGTTGTTTCTCATTGCATTGGCTGTAGATTGACCCGTATCTTGTAAATGCACTTGTAGGGAACTGGAGATCTTACGACTGCGCTTCTTCTTGGTTGGAGTAATGTAAAGCCCCTAAACTAAACTTTTATTGTTCTTCCAGCATCATTCTCTTTAAATAATAGTTCATTATGGTACCAGAAATATCCTGACCACCTTGACCAGGCAGCAGAGCTTGCAGTATCAAGTTTACAGGTCTTTCTCCTCCCTATTTGTTTCATTTTTAGAATTATTTGTTTTGAGGCTTTGCTCTAGAAATGCTAGCGATTATCATATTGCATTTTATTCCGTGCCACATTGGATCAGGCTGCCCAATACCTAGCCCTRGCGAAACTAAGTACTATTTATGGCTTGAATCAGGCTTAACAAACCTCTAAGAGCTAATTAGCTTGTAGCCCCATCTATGAGGTGGCTCGTTAGGTTGAGCCTTGATCGGTTCATTSGGTCAGACCTTTAGATCGGCCCTATTGATARTCATTTTTTAACTTAAAAGGAAACTAAATGTTTAATTTTTGGTTAAATTACAGGTTCGGTTTATGAACTTTTAGGGTTGTGTGTAATAGGTTCTCGAACTTTAAAAAGTGTCTAATAATTCCCCAAATTTTACAAGTATCTAGCAATTTAAGACCTGAGTATTCTTTAAAGTTCGATAACCTATTAGACACTAACTCTGAAAACCTATTAGACACAACTCTGAAAGTTCACGAACTAAATTTGTAATTTAATCTTAATTTTTAAATGCTAATAACATAACAATGCTTTTAAATGTAATGTAACATATCGTCTTTTGATTATATTGTTGAATTATTATCTTTTAAATCATGATCAGAATATAATAAAATAAGCACATTCTATCTTAGCATTTAAAAAATTGATTTGAAGTTATTTGTTTCTYAGTGAAATTATTGAATTCATTTTTATTGTCTAGTTTAATAGTTATAGTCTCTTGTATATTAAAATACCATATTTATATCCCAATTTAGTAGTATACAACATTATTATGTCATGATATTAAAATCTCAGGTTCCTTTGATCAAATTTTTATAATGAGAAACTGAACTTTCAATGTCTAAGAGGAAGTTGAAACAAAAGAGAATTGAAGTAAAAGACTAATTAAAAACAAAGGATGATTACCAAAAACTTTAGTCATGGTTAGGGTTGTTCATGGTTTGGTTTGGCTCGGTGTTAGAGCTAAATCGGAATCGATTCTGAAACTGAATCATTAAATTTTGAAACAAAAATGTAAAACCAAACCGAACTGCTAGATCGGTAAAAGCTACTCTTGTTAACCGACGGTTTGGTCGGTTTGGGAGGTGTGAAGATGGGCGGGCGGGCAGGGAAATGTGCCAATGAACCGTGAAAGAAGGGAGCGGGAGCAGGAGCGCGGAGTGGGTGTGAGGACTAGGAATGGATGGTGAGATGGGCAGAGGGAGTTGCAGGCGTGGTGCAATTTATGAGCTAATGGCAGAGAGGCCTAGTTAAGGGATTGAGGGATGGATGAATGAAACGACCAGTATGAACAAATGACTGCCACGACGGCTGCAAAATGTTTGTGGCTATGATAAGTTTTCGAATAGCGGTAGTTGATGGGAAGCCAATGCCAGACGAGTTAAAAAGAAATCTAAAAGTAAAGATATGAAAACAAAAATACCAACATGAGCATAGCTCAACAGTACTTGACATATACTCATTCCCTCGAGRTTGAAAGTTCGATCTCTCGTATTCCCAAATTGTTGTATTAAAAAAATGAAAACAAAAATGGTAATGGTCCATGTGCACCACACCACTCACATCATTAGAAAAATTCTGTATAGAATGTTTTTGCCAACATGGACTAATAATAACGAAGCGTTAAAGTAAGCAAACGTCCTCCTACGATGAAAGATAGTCTTCTATTCCTTTTCAGCCAAATAAACTACAAAACTGCAAAAGAACTAGCCTGCCAGAGAACCCGTCTTAGATGTAGTGAATTTGCAGGAACCCAAACTTAATTCGCCTTGATAAAAGGGTGAGTAGACTAATTTGYAGTTCAAACATTACCTAACATCTTTATCGACGATTTGCAGGCGGTTCTGTGTAGGACAATGAATGATTATAAAAGTGCTGGACATGATCCACAATCGAGTAGTTTGGAAATTCGATTGATTCAAAGCCAAGACGAGATTCGTAATCCAAAAGTTGAATTCAAAGCTGAAAAATACAATTGAATTGGTTGAAATGTCTATCTTTCTAGGTATAATGCAAGATGGCTTTGAACTGCTTCTATTTAAATCCTTCTTACCCCCAAAAAAACAATACTGAAACCCAGATTTTAATTCACTATATATACTTTTTTCTTGGGGATAAAAGGATTCAATGAGATTGAAATTAATTTACAGCACCCTCCCCCACATTTACTCGTAAAATCAACATTTTGTAAGCTTACAGAAATTATTATGCTTGATTCATTCACTATGTAGTTATATTAATTTAGCGGTAATTGATATATATCTACAATCAAGAGGTTGTGAATTCGATCCTCGATTCTACATGTTGCTCTTAAAAAAAAAAAAAAAAATAGTCCATTGTTGCACATTCTTTTTAAATTAAAAAGATTTGTTTTTAAGGTTAAATTAAAGTTTATCCATGAACKTTTTGTGTAATAAATTCTTCAACTTTGAAAAGTATGTTTTTTCTTTTTTGTTTTAAGTATAACAAGTGGGAACGGAGGAATTCAAATTCATGACTTCTTGATCAGAAATATGTGTCAATTATCGTTAAACTCATATGTGGCAACTTTGGAAAGTATTTGATAGGTTGTATAACTTTTAATTTTATATGTTTAATAGGTCAATAAAATTTTATTATTGTATTTAATAGGGTCTTAAATTTTGTGTTTAACATGAATTTGATATTTTTGACATTTTTTAGACTATTAGACATTAGAATTTTGAATTATTTGTTTAAAGAGTCYGTAAATTTTCAAAAGTGTTGGAAATGTTAGATATCAATTAAACACATCATTGAAAATTTAATGACTTACTAATCTTCTTAAAGTTTAGGAATTTGAAAATTTAACGACTTCCTAAGATTAGAAATTTATTAAACGCAAGCAAGTCAATTTCTTAAAGAAATTATAATCATCTTTAATTTTATATTTTAAATTACCATGCCTCACTCACCAACCATATTTCCCTTAATTGCTCACCTAAATTCATGTAAATAATTATAATATTCAACTTGGAGGCATGTATCTTCAACTAAAAACTCAATTATTATGATATTAATATATTTGTTCAAATGTTAAACTTAAAAAGAAAATAAAAAAGAAAGTAATGAGATTTATTATTCAATTATAATTATTTGTATATATCTTAATTTTTAAATATCTAAGTGATGGTTGTTGCAATCATGAAATATAGAATTTGTAATTTTAACATAAGCCAATTATGTTGTAGTTATTAATGTTGGTTTTTTTTTTTCCAATTTAATCACTATTCATCAAAATTTTTTAATTTAGTCTCTTTTATTTTAAACATTTTTCAATTAATGTTGGTAAATATTAAACATGTGATAATAAATTTATATAGCATGCTACTATAGAGATTTAGAATCTAGAAAAGTTTCTTAACTCTTTCAAATTTCTAAGAAGATGACAGATTTAACCTTTTCATCTCTTAGATGTTCAAATTTTAAATTTTAAATAAGTTAAAAAATACTTTTGATAGAAGTACAAATTTTAAATTTTAAATAAGTTAAAATTACTTTTGTTCRAAGTAACAATTTAATTCACGTACTTTCAAATTTGTAACAGTTTAGTCTCGAAACTTCAATGTATGATAATTTAGCATGCCATAAAAATGTTGTTAAAATTTCTTGAGAATGAATATATATATATACACACAATTGATGAAAGATCAAATATATATATAAATTACAAAGACTAAATCATTACCCAACACTTAATTCTGATGAAATTTTCCACAAAGTGACTAAATTGTTACATATTTTAAAACTATAAAGACTAAATTATAGTAAAGTACAAAATAAATACCTCAATTTAAATTTTATAAACAATTAGATATAACTAAAAAAACAGAGTAAAAGTAAAACATATAGTTGGACATTCAATTAGTTGGACATTCAATTAATACAAGATTTCGTGATGCCACCAAATCATGTTTTAATGAAGTAAAAAAAATTTGGCAAGAAATAAGTTCAAAATTACCAACCTGATCATAATTCAACTATAGTTAAGACATATATCTTTAACCAAAAGGTTGGATGTTCGAGTCCACTTCACATGAACAAGCAAATTRTATATATAGCTACGATAAAATAACAAAGACATTAGGTTTYACCAATTGGGCTGGTTCAGTGGTCAATGCCTGATAGAGAACAGCATTTCAAAACCAACAGTAAAAATAACTAAAACAAACTTTAAGTTTTGAATGCATATAAAAAAAATATCAAAATGTTATCATTTGATAGATRACTTACATTCAAGCAGGTACTTCTGAAAAGGGTTCATTCATAAAATGATAATTAAAGCCAGTTCACTGTTTACAAACTACAACATTAAAGCAGGTACTTCTGAAAAGGTTTCAAAGAACAYGCAAACAACTAAATTACAAACGATATAAGATCCCGAAACTTACTCGGTCGAAAATTTCATGAGCAAAATTCTGGAAGCTTTTATGCAAGATTGCCACCATCATCATTCTTCCTGCTCAAATCAATATTTTTTATGCAGACAATGTTCTTTTTTCAGTCACCTTAATGTCAACTCCTTGAAAACCAAGCATCTTGTTTAGTGCACCAATGTAGGCCTTGACACTTGATWCAACTATGTCCATGCCTGCCCCGATACCACTGCAACAATAAAAAACAGATCACTAGACATACATTTATCGATATGCTATAGCTTGCTAGACGTACRTAATTCAGCCCCGATTCATCTTTGAAGTTCTTGATATGGATTGATTGATATAGCATTTGATAATTCTCCATCCCAAATCTTTTCGAGTTGAATATTAATGACGTTTAGATGTAATATCGCAGAGGGAATAATACTTCAAACAAGAATACTTGATTGATTGTATTTTAAAAAAGGRAAAATTGCAAAACTCACCCATCAACTAGGGGTTGGTAACAATCTTTGTAGTTTTAAGGGTTTAAGGGTGGTTTGTGCATTTTGTAATATTTAAGGGTTTAATTCGAACAATTTCATAAGTTTAGTGGGTAACCGATCAACTGATGGTGCAAAAGTGCAATTGTAACAACTCCTAAAATCTTGGGGTGGATTTTGCAATTTTCCCTTTAAAAGAAAATAAGCAGGTATCACATTATCCTGTAGCTAGTTTACCTAAATGTTCGTTGAACTGCTTCTCCTGTCATTGCATTAGTTGATGTGTAACTGTTTTCCCCTCTTATTACAACACGGGTCGTGGCAATTGCATCAATGCCTTCAGTGACAGCGTTCATCGAATACTCGAGAAGTGTAACTGGTTCCTGCATTAAAAAAAAATGATAACTCTTGTACCGTCTGATTCACTCAAGGAAGACACACTGGACCACCAGCAAGAAATTTATGGCAAGAAGACATCATAGTTAATCATTCAGTAATACCCCAGAACTAGATACACATGCAAAGGATGTGAAAGCCTGGTTTATCGATCAYGAGGACTTTTATGTTATAACCTATTTATTAGACACTTCTAAAATTCAGGGACTTCTTAGACGGAAGCCRAGAATAACATAAAACAAATTATCTAAGATATCCTAGTTTGACTTTACCAGGAAATCTTCCTGTAAGTGTATTCCAGATGTAAATGGAAAATATAAAAAGTTTGCTAGCAGTTTCTCCTATACAAACCTTCACAATGCCATCTACAGCCTTGTAAGCTGAATCTACAGGCCCCGTTCCAACAGCACAATTAATATGCTCTTTCCCGTCAGCATCGAGGAGTTTCACGGTAGCCGTAGAAAGACCAAGAGTTCCACAGGTGACCTGCATTTGAGGTATTGTCAAATGATGCTATATGTGTATTTAAAAGTAGGTCCAAACAACTTCCCAAATATAATGATCTATAACAGAATTTAAACCTGCAAATCTAGCAGCTTCCAGACAACACTTGGTTGAAAAACTTCATCAGATACCAATGCTCGAAGATCAGCATCTGTTACTCTCTGGAATGTCATATAAATTAGAGCAAAATAATGTAGATCTAAATATCTGAAAATTAGGGAAAAAGGCAAGAAATTATATGAAAAAACTTTCCTGATGAATGGTAATTTATGTTCTTGAAATAGGTTGAAGTACGAGCTTCTTCTTTTTTTTTTTTAATAAGTTTGAAAGGGGTGCAACGTGAAAGCTTTCTAAGTAGCCACTCAATTTAGTACTACTCTCGCCCAAGCACGCTTAACTACAGAGTTCTGATGGGATCATGCACCGGTATGATCGCACCCAAAGTAGAATCCTTTTTTGTATTTACAGATACGTGCAGGAGGCAGAGGAGGGAATTCGCTCAGAAAACAGAGAGGGACAAAATTTCAAGTTACCTTCTTTTGTTCAGCTACTTCTTTGAAACGCCAGAATATGTTGTCAAGATTCTCATTGTCAAGCTCATAACCAAGCTGAAAAAATGGGATATAACGTAAACATATTATCAGAAAGGAAGACATAATACAGAAAGATTACACAACCATTGAGCTTGAAGATCCCAATTTACCTCTTGAAGTCGACTTTTAAGGGCATGGCGTCCACTGTAAAAATTGTCAAAATGAACCATGTTAGCAGGTGGCATACTYCGGACCAGATACAAGGGGTGAAATTATAAACAAAAGGAAGTCAATCCTGTTGATGTTGTAACAAAATAATTTAAAGTTTCAACGCCACAATAGAATGGCTACAGATATTCYTCATCCCTCCTGTCCCAGATATACTTCAGCTCCCTAGGTACAGCTGCATCATTGTACCAAACTATACGATATTTTACAGCTAAAAGGGGCCGGTTTTTCCATTTGTATTCAAATATTCTTAAAATTGATCTGACCTTGAATTTATGAAAATGCCTTACAAATTATGCATGTTCTTGCAAGATACCTTCTTCAATCTCCTCTTCTATGTTCTTAAGCAATTAAACATACTACCAATGTTACTATGATCCTCTTCGTGTACTAAAGGAATCTCAACAAAGAGGTGTTTCAAGTGCTGCAGAAAGGTTCTACCTCTATGGCATACTAGGATTCTCTTGAACAGTATATCTGTATGTTAGAGTATATACTATATATTAGTATATTTTATATTCTTGTATTAATATTAATTTGTCCTTTGCCTTCTCCTTATAGGATTAAGTCAACCTTGTATATTTGTCTATATATATAGACTTTAATAATAAGAATACATTACATTGGATTCTCTCCAAATTTAGTCTCTACATGGTATCAGAGCTCTA